GTATTTGATTGTCAGTGTCGTATACTCGTATTATAAAAATGCAAACAAACATAAGTTAATATGGGGGATTAACCTCAGCTCACGCGAGATGGTTTTGAAGGGTGGTAAAATACTTTTTTTACTCTGAACTGAAAGATATTCACGAACACAAACGTATTACTTCTTAGCTTGCAAGTTTCGGTAGATGCTTTATTGTTTCGTTTTCGATTTGTTATTTTGAAGTTTTCTGTGAATATTCTCAAACAATTTATAAAATAGATATGCAATTGCACGTAAAATTTGAAATATCTGAGAAAAAAAAAACAACTGCTAGAATTATGCAGAGAAGCAAGGTGGCTGATGGGTGAGACAGGTTCGAGGTTCTGTCTTCTGAGTGGGAAAGCTTGGCACAAACTTTCATCTCTTAAGAAAGTTAATAAAATGAGTTCAAAACATGCTTGGGTTTTCGGTTGGGGCTGGATTTTTCCCGTTTGTGGTTTCCCATTCGGGTGACCACTCAGTTAGAACTTTGGATACAGCATTGTAGGAGAAAGTACTGCACTTTTTGGTCACAGTAGGCTTTGGCCCTCCATGGACTGTCCCGCTATTCAGTTTAGTTTAGTTTTACTACTATGAAGAACAACGAATTATAGTGCAGTTTAAATATAGAAGGAATGTTCGCTCTATCACTCCACTCAGCATCTCTACATTTTATCTAATGAGAATGCCGGGAAGAGAAAAAGGACAGAAAAAAAATAAACGGAAGGAGCAACAAAAAAAGATAGACTTAATTTATTTATCAATATTTCCTAATTATTTTTATGAATTGTTTAGATAGTATTTATTATTTAAATCATTTAAGGAGGCTAAAACATAATGAAATTTTAGTAAACAATGAATGCTTTCAAATGTAAAAACTGTAATGTAAAGCAATTAAACAAGACGCATAAGAAGATTATGCTTTTTAGTAATAGCTGTTATTTACATACAAAAGAAGCATTTATCTATCATAGATACTTTTTTTAAAAGAACCTAAATACAGCAAAGTATCTTATATTAGTATAGTTTAACCTTCACAGAGAGCAAGAAATTCGTAATCTGAAAAAAAAAATATTTTTGAGACAACTACATATATTATATGAAAAAATATCACTTGTAAGCATTGAACAATATTTCTCTTTTCAAAGCAATAAAGTAGACTTGTAAGAAATCAGCCTTTCCCGTATTTCCTCGGGGTCTTGTGCCTCAAGTTGTTTTTTTCACTAGCAGATGCTAAAGAATTCCCTCTAGGTAAAAATAGTTTTTCGGCAAGGCAATGCGACTGAAGGAAGAAAAAAATGGAAGACAAGTAAATAAAGAAAATTTTTCCAGAAAATAGAATTTTCTCTTTGGGATTCGGGGATTTCTATCTTTGTAATCGTTCTTCCAAACATCCAAATCTTAACAGAGAGGAAATGGCTAGAGACAGGCTTATATATGTTTTTTCCTCTTTTTAGTGAACAAAATAGGAGCAGACAGGACCAAAAATAATCATATCTTTCATCTATAAAAGAACAAACTCTTAAACGAAAGTAAAATGATTTCCTACGTGTGAGAATGAAAAATCCTTTAGCCTGGAGACAATAGCAAAGCAACTTTCAAGAGTAATTTTTGAGGTTTATTTTCTTGAAACTTATTTCTTCTGTAGTAGCAAGCGTATTATTTCAACCAAGCATATATTGCAGAATAAAACGCTTCCGTAATACATGAATCGATGGACATATGAGGCTAATTTTCATTTAGAAATCCAGTTTGTGAATTGGCTTAAGATAAACGATAGATTTTCTATGGGATTAAGATTCGGAGGTCTGCCAGTTAATTCTAAAACAGACTTTGTTCTTGGCAAAGTATTACTTCATTTATTTTAGAATGATGACAAGACCCCGGGTCTCATTGAAAATTTCATCATTGCATAAAAGTTTTAATTTTGGCCACATTCTTTCTGTCATTATTTTCTGGTATTGCTCACGGTTCATCATATCTGCGTCACAAACGGGTGGTGCTACGTCATTGCGTTAAAAAACTCTTTATTTTTCAAGAAAAAAATTTTTTTTTGGAGAATTCCATTGAATCAGTTATTACGCTCACTAATGTATTTTAGACTAATATTTTCTCTGCATTAACTACTATGGTAATTTTTTAAGACCATGAAGACACCCTTTTATGTGTCTAGTGTATAAATTTTACAAATTTTGTATTTTTTCTCTAAATAAAACTATGAAATTTTTTCCGGGTAACTAATTAAATTATTAAATTCTATCTCAAAAACGATCAATATATAATTATTTTAGAGATTAAAAGCCGTAATTGGAAAAATTAGTTTGGGAAAAGTTTTGGCTTTTTTTCATAAAAGATTAAAAAACAATACGTCTAAAATTTCATTCATTCTACACAGGACTGAACTCATAAAAATCCAACTCAAAAATTTATAAACTAAAAATAAACTTTGATTTTCAAGATTAATCCATATTTAATCTTAAAAAATATCATTTTTTCTTTCGAAATATTTCAATAAATGTTATATTATAATATATTTACAAATAATTTAGTTTGATATCAACATTTTATTTGAATAAAATGAGATGTAACACGAAATCTTTTTAGTTAGAAATTGTTTTAGAACGATAAAATGTGGGCTGTACGATATTTAAAAACTGATAGAGTAACTGCTTCTAAGAGTGGTAAGTGATTTGTATTTATGTTGTAGTAGTAAATACATTCTTAAATATAAAAATTTTAACTCTCGGAAATCAGTAACTTTTAAACTACATTTTTTATTTCCAAGAAGAATTGCTTCTTTTGAATCACTTGATATTTTAACGAAATTCTTCTCTAAGATATTTGACAAAACTTCTTCCTAAATCATATATAATCTCAGTGCATTCTAAAAAGTTTATGCAACTACAGGTATATATGGTTCCGCTTGTAAGTTAAATGCAACTGAAATTTTACTTCTACTGTAAACAATGCAAGAAAAATGTTTAGAATAGCAGCAGTATAAATGCATGGTGGTTTTCTCTTCATCCACTGTGACGCCATGACCAATTCTCTAAAAAAACATTTGTCTCATTTAAAAATTGTTTGTGCTTAATGACTGGAGATTGCTTGTGAATCAGGTTTCCAGGGTATAATACCTGATAAAAATCGATTATTTATTGAGTCATTCTCTATTTATTTTAATCTGCAATTCCTATCATTTTTTTTAATAAGTTACATTAAGCCTATTGCTTCGAATTAAAATCCTAATCTCAAACATGTGAAGATTGTTATTTCCGTAATTTGACAAAAGAAAGATTCTATCAGAGCAATACCTAGCAAGCGGTTTCGTCCAAAATGAAGAAAATTTCATGGCATTTGACAGTTTATTTTTGACATTGTCAACCCCCGTGTTTCGTGATTGTAGAAGTGTTCATTTTTCCAGAATTATCAAACTTTTTCTGATCATTAACTTAAAAATGCTTCACTGATTTTAAAACATTACATATTACGCTATTATTTCTTGGTTTATTAATAAAAATTCTAGAAAAAATATTGGGCGTACATTGCCATTTCATAAAAAGGAAGGTGAAAATATTCTGCAAATACCTGACCTTTTTTTTATCATAAAAAGACTTCTAATCTAGCATATCCAGAAAACACCATTCAATACTTTACTCAAGAAATGAAATATTGATTTTTTTTTTTCAGCAAATCGATTTTTAAGAACTCATTATTAACAAGGAAGAGAGTAAAGCAAGGAGAATCAAAAAGCATAAGACGTAAAGATAAAAAAAAATGGAGAAATTCTTTCTGAAAAGAAAATTCTCTCTCACCTTTATTATTAAATGTTAAAGATTAAAGTATTATGAAAAAAATAATGTTTTGTGAGAATTAATGACCATCATTCTGATCGTCGTGTTGGCAATACTTGTATTAATTTTTTCACATCCACCAACACTTCTTCTTGCAGTTGACATTTTTTTTTCTATTTTCTACTATTAGTATAAAAAGAATTCTAACGAAACAAGATTTTATTCCTTGAAAAGAAATTGCTGTTTTTCAGAGTGAATTTATCATTCGTAAAGTTAATTTTTTAATATCAATTCTTTAAAATACGATGTAAAGAAATTCCAAAGATCTTATTAAATTTTTAATAAACTACTTTAGTGCCAGTATCTATAAGGCAATAAAGTGTTTGTTGATGTAAAAAATAGCTTACTTTTGAATTCATTACTTACTTTAAAATAAAAGATTAAATTGTGTATATGTTTTTAATAAATTTTAATTACAGGGAGTTCAAAAATTGACCAACTCTTAAAACCTAACCTAAACCTAATTAATCTGTTATGTTCTGTTTAAGAAGCTGGCTAGTTATCCTCATTTGTTTCAAAACGGGTTACAATGTCAACAGGTGACACTGCTAACTGAAAAAGTAAAATAACACTGTTCTAAAAAAAAATGCAGCAACCGATGGAAGCTTCAAGTGACGTCATCGTAAGTAAATCATGCCATTTGTCGATTCACAGACCAATGAAGTTCGATACATACGCGTGACCTTGCTTACTGGTATGAAATTAAACATGATTTGAATCACATTGATGGACATAATCATTTAATTACTTCTCTAGTTGCAAGTACCCAATTAGTTGCAGTTTGAGAACAAAATTAACAGATGCCCGTGCAATTATTTCTGTTCAAAAAGATTGCTACACGCTGTCCATTATAACCGATATATATCCATGTGGCTACAATAAAAAGTATTGTTTGGTGAACCCGGTGTAATTGAATATGATTTATTATCTCATACAGTCTTAAAGCATTTAAAGAGAGGGAAAAAGTACTGCAATGAAGTACACATTTTCCCTTCTAATTTTTAAAAAAAAATATTTATGACATAATTCAATGATTTTGCCTTTTGCTATAAACGTTTCTTAGAGAAAATAATATTTTCGAATATTTTGTTATCTGATTTGTTAAATCTGAATTGTTTTGTCTTCATATAGGTATATCGTGGAGGACAAATGACACCAATGCAGTGGACAGCTGACAATTCCAGTGGAGGATTTACTGATAACATGACATACCCGTGGTTGCCCTTGAATCCTGACCACTACTCGACCAATGTTCAAAACCAACATGTTCGTCTGCAAGAGCTATCCAAATTTATTGGATTTATAAAATCGGTTCTAAAAAACTACAAACATAGAGATCACAGAGTTGAGGTTTTGGATCCCAGCATCGTACTTCTCGAGCGAACACATCATGGTAGAAACTCCAAACGAGTTGTTTTTGCCGCCAATTTTGGCAACGTTTCAGAAGACAAAGAGTTTCCAGAATCATATGGAAATGTCAAGACTCTAATAGAGACTTTGGAGCCTACAAGGACCAGAGTTCGAAATCGAGGATTTACATTGAGTCCTGGAGCTGCATTTGTTGCAGAAGTAACCCTCATGTACAATCCACCACCCACCGCTGTTGTTTACTAATGTGATGTTGGAGAATGTTCAAAATAAGACGTGGTATGTGAAACTAATGTGAACAAACTAAACACCGCTTTAAATTCTCGGAAAGACTTTAATCAGAACTTTTGCTAAAACTGTATATTTTCTTCAAAAGTCTGAACTTTTGGGGATACGGGCAAAGTTATCCAACAATACAAATGTTAAGCAAGCTGCTAAATACAGAGTGTTTATAATTAATCTTACCCTCTTCAGATCAACATCATGTCCCGTCTGATGGATGAATATCGTTGAAAATCTATAATAAAATAAGTTCAAATTTTGACCTCACGGTAAATTATTAAAAAAGAAGACGTAAAGTACAAATGAATACAACGTGGTGACGCAAAACTTTATTTAATCATATGTGTTCAATATGCATTTTTTTTGTCAAAAACATGTATGTTCGAAACACGTTACAGCAAATTTAAACATTGGACGAAGTTTCTCTCAATGTACTGCAGCAACTTGACTTGATATGCTAGCTTTCATACCAGCTTTTTCTGCAAACCGCGTCCATCTTTTTCCTTCTAGCATGCATCTAACAAGCCAGTCTCTTAAAATTTAGGTTCTTCCTCTTGTCATGGCATGACTTTACATCTCTTCTACAACACGAAAGGTGCCATCTATTGGCCAAAGAGTGAACTATTCTTAAAATACATTTCTTTTTTCGACGGTCCATTTAATATACGAGTTTATGTATGCATTCATCCACGAGATAGAATATTATGTTGAGCTTATCAGGGTAATATAATTATATACACCTAACATGTAATGTGTTTTAATCTCTTTTTCTTGTTTGTTCCAAAGTTTGCTCTATTAAACATATTTTACATCATGCTATTGTTAAGTTTAAATTTCTAATTTTACTGCCTACCAAAATGATATATACTAATTATCTTTATTATCTTCGGCATTGTTATATATTATCTATTTGAGTGATGGAATAATTTGAGAGAGTATATATATTTTAAATAGTTAAAATTTTATCTTGGAGCTGATGATAGATATATTGGCATCTTAGGAAATAAAATTTGTACATTAAAATTAGAAATACACACTTCGCTGATTATTACCCATAGTACATTATAGAAAATTCCATCAAAAGTTCTCAATGCCGTTTATAAAATGTAATTTCATTTTGAAAATAAAAATCTATATTGTAATTTCCGAATTACTTTTGATATTAGATATTTTAAGAATATAGGGCCTAATTACCGAGTATTTTTTTCTGGATCCGGTTTTTTAAATATATTATTCTGTTTTGATAGTTCAAAAACACTTTTGAAAAGTGGGCTAACAAATTTGGCTCTAGACTTTGAGACGCCAAAGTATGTCGTTTTCAACGCACGAACTAAAAATATGGGTGCCAAAAAATTAAAAATGATTTTTAAAGATAATTTTATTACAAATAAATTTTTACACTACGCAACCTAATCCACTTTAGATTATATTAAATTTTAAATTTTAGAAACATTTTCACATTAAGGGAAAATCGTTTTAAAAATGATTATATTGTATTTTAGTTCTTTATTGATTGTAAGTAATTTATTGATTATAAGAAGTGGCGTGAAATTTATAACTTATTTTTTTTAAATTTATAACTTACTTTACGAAATAATGAAAAATTTTAAGGATGGCACTTCGAATAGGATCATTATAATGAAATTAATGAATGATTTGCTTCAAATTTAAGAAAATAATGTTGTTCAAATTGAAAGAAAACGTATTTTATTAATTTATTTTTTAAAACAAATATACAGATTTCGCACAGATAAAAAAAGTAATTTCTATACATTTTTTCTCACTTACAATTTCATTTGCAGTAGAAGGTTAATTTATTTCTGAATAAGTAATTTAAGTTTATGATTTAGTCCTTGTTCGTAGACTTTTAATTAGTTACATGCTTTTAGAGCCGTTTTTATTGAATTAAACAATAAAATTTGAGGTATAAATTGAGGCATAAAGGAATCAAATGTATGCAATTTACATACATTAATTTAAAATTTATTTAAAATTGATATTTGAATCATGCTTTGTAAACTTTAAGGTAAATTTTCAATAAAAATGTAATTCGCAACATAAAATGAAAATACTTGTTTTAAATCTCATTTCCGAATTAATAAATTTAAAATAATAAAACGATAAGAACTAGTTTTGTTTAAATGCTTTTTGAAAGGAAAGAAAAATATTTAGTTACTATTTCTTTTTGAAACTGTAGTCTTAAAAGAAGTTTATATCTTAATTTGTATCACAATAAATATTTCTACAATATAATTGTTTTTATTTTTTTAAAAATTAAAATTTAGTAGATTTAGACAAATGTAGAAACATTGCATTTTCATTTAATCCATACTCACCAGTACTTTAAAAATCATACCAAATTGAAATGCATAGTTTTCAATTTTTGAGTAATTTTTTTTTCACGAAAAATTTATAACGTATTTGCTTTGCTTTTAAAATACGTTTTTGTAAAAATTGTATGAAATATTTGTATATATGAAAAAAATGTATGTTATGATTTTACTTTCATTTTCATTAAATAATAATTCATATTGTTCATTTACAAATAAAAAATGTTTAGAATAATTAGATGCTTTGATTTATTTCAGTACGTTTTTCATTCAGAAATTACGTTTTAAGAAATTGTGGATCAAATTTCGGAAAAAAAGTACTGGCACCTTGAGTTCAGTATCCTTAAAATTCATTTGACCGTGAAGTCTTGTTTTTACTGTAAAATTTAATACAGTAATTTTTACAGCAATTATTTTTTCATTGCAGTGATTGTATAGTAAATATTACTGTAAAAATTAAGGTACATCGCATTTTGGCACCGTAAGATTTTACTGAAAAAAGGGATTTTGTAGTTAAAAGTATCGTCGTCTTGAGTGCCCATACTTTTTACAATAATTCGATTCGCAATTGTTTTACAGTGCATGTAAAATAATTTTTACAGGAAATCATTTTAACTGAAAATAATTACCTGTAATATAATTAGTATAAGAACATCTAAAAAAAAGCTTATATCTATGTATTATTCAAACTTGAACTATAACTTTGTAATTACAGAATACATTTATATTCTTACTCGTACCCTTTTAACTTCACAAGTTGTTTTTAATCACTCTCTTTGAATGTACGTAATTTTAAATACCTCCATTGTTAAAAAATGGTGTTGGCAATGAATCAAAGTTGTTAGTTTGGGTGTATCATCCGTTAAATAAATTTTACAGTGAAAATCATTAAAATTTATATTTTGAATCACATTTCAATTTGCATTTTTACATTTACATTTAATTTGCATTTTTGCAGTTAAAATTTATATTTTGAAGTAATAATTTGCTTAATTACGATGATTCAGTAGTTTTACATTTAATATTACTGAAAAAATTACGGCACAGCAGATCTTTTGTTCCGTAATATTTTACGATAAAAAGTAAAATTACGTGAAATTATGTAAAACTCCGTAAAAACTCATGTTTGTAAAAATTGCATCACCATGAAGGATTTATGCAAATCCGACATGAAATGTAAAATGAAAACATGCACATTATTGGAATCACGAAGTGATTGTGTTTGCATGGAAGGAGAACTGGTTCTTTATCAGCTGCTTACAAGCGGCTGATAAAGAACCGGTTCTCCTTCCATGTATATGGATTGGTTGGTTCTAATGCCACTTGCCACACGGGCAAGCCTGCTTTGTGAAACCCAGCATGCTTAAGGCAGAGTGTGCATTTCTTGTTTTTCATTGGCGCCATCTATGGTCAAGAATTCAACTTCTGCCACACCATACGTCACACCCGTTTATAGAGCTGACCTATTCATACATCCATTCATTCATCCACCGATCGTAATTTTGACCTGAATCAGAGAATGATCAATCTCCAATCCAGTACCCCCAGACGAAAATTTGAAGTATATTAAAGATTATGAGTGCAAGCTGTTTTTAACTTTTATTGTAAATTTTGGGCAAAACATTATGTAATACTTATTTTATTTATCTTATAAGTTATGATTGCACTTAATCGTAAACAAGAAAAAACAAAAGTTAATAAGGAACTTTTGGAATAACATTTATTTTGAATCAGTTATGTATTTTAAATAAACAAAGATTTTCAGAAGATTTAACTAAAGCAGGTCATTATGCACTGAATCATTAAAACTATTTTTTTATGATTTCTTGAAAAACATGAGCAAAACATTTTAATATAAAGCAATTAGTGGGCAAATCATCAAGTATTTAATGATGACAAGGGATTAGCTGCTTAATATTTTTAAAGTTTTGTTTTATGCCAGTAATTAGTGTTTTTATGTTCAAACTATTGTTTTCTTACATTGATAAATCTGTTAGTACAGATGAGTAGATTTTCAGTGGCTGTTAATTACTTCCTTTTCTAGTTTTCAGGAAAATATTTTAATTTACTGCTTTGATTTTAATCAGAGATTTTTAATTAGCAATTAAGGAATAAGAAAAAATAATATTAAGAACACTTTTTGTGAGGAGATGTTTTCGTTAAATAAATAACTTGTTTCTCACTCACTGAGCTCTTCAAAACATTTTCCCAAAGAAAAAAAAAATGATGATTTATAAATATGTTGAATGAAGAAGAAAAAGTAGCATTTAAGAAAATTAATAAGTTTTATTTTCTGCGCATGAGCTGCAAGTATATAGAACTCATAAAATAAGTTTAAAATATAGAGAAAACATGGAAAAAATTACAGAATAAGAAAAAGTGAAGAAGAAAATTATTAAAATAAAATAGCAAAAAAATATATATAAGAAATAAATTTTTTTTTTTAAACCAAAATCCGGGAAAAAAGATGTAATTCGCTTCATCACCTCACACGATTATATCTGCAAAAAGGAGTGCTTTCTAATATTGTACCAATGTGGCCAAAGCAAAATTTATCAATACAATAATTAATCCCACCATTTAACAATTTCCCTCTTCTTGTTTAATTATTATGCAATGTTTTTCGTGTTTTCTCTGTATCTTGAATATTCTCTAACTGTATTCTATCTATATTCTTTCTCTATCTCTTCAAAATGAATGAAAGTTCAAAATGAAGATAAAACAAAGAAAAATTATAGACATATGAAAAAATGGGAGAAAATAATCAGTAAAAAAATAACAAACAACAGTTTTAAAAAGAAAAGAAAAAGAAATAAAAAATGAAATTTTATTTAAAAAAACCGGAATAAAAGATATAATCTTTTCATCAGCTCACGCGATTATATCCGCAAAAAAGAGTGCTTTCTGATATATATATATATATATATATATATATATATATATATGTAANNATATGTATATATATATATATAAGAATTTAAAAGGCCTCTTATTATTTTTCTTTTAAAATATTTCATATTCTTTCTTAAAGGTTATTACTTGTGTGTAAATTAAATATTTACTTACAGAGATATTTGCTTGTAAATATATTTGGGAGGGATTCACTTTGCTTATTATATAAATAGTAAATGTAATTTAAAGATTGAATTTAGCTTATTCTTTAGTCGCTGAAATAGTGCAATTTTCATATCTGTTTCTCAATTAAAGTTATAATTGGATAATTTATATTATCCAATTAGAGCCACATTTTATATATTTTTTGATATATTCTATATTATAAATGATTTAAAACCATTGATTTTCATTCCATTAGCTGAAATAATGCTTTTAGTTTGTAGTCTATTCACCATAGGATGTCTAAGTTCTGTGATTATAGAAGTCAAAGATAAATCTAAAATGTAAATTCACATCTGGAATTTCAAATGACTGTTCGAGAGGGACTTTGAAATTCAATCTCAAGTCCTCAAAGTTTTGGCGTTAGATAAATGTTGGATTTCGTCTACGAAGGGAACAACTCACTGTTCTCAGTTTCTAATAGGTCTTTAATGAACTGCTCTTTGGTGAAAAATAAATTCGCATGAGAACAATTTAAGAGTAGAAAAGGCTAAGAAATACCCTCTGATCACATTTCTTAAGTGGATTATATTGTTTTCTAGTAAATCTTTTCTAACGTTAATAGAGTGCCCATTCTTAAATAAGCGTAAAACAAATTTCCTTTACTTAGGGCCAGAAAACTTAAAAAATAAATAAATAAACAAGTACTTTATTGAAGGAAATCTGAAATATTACACTTCTGAAATATTTTTGATGAAATATTTCAGCGGCAAAGTGCTACTTTTCTTACACGTGAAATGTAGGACTGTCAGAATCATGTAAAGAAGGCAACACTGTTATTTTTCCAAATAAATTTATTAATTGAAATTATCAAATGTTTTCAAATGAACAGCTTACACTATTTCAGCTAAAAATGTTAACAATTTTTTCTTCCCATATTTAACTTAAATGATGACAAAACATCAATAGCGAAAAAAAATAGTAAAAAAACTGTCATCGCTTTATTATGATCACTGGTTACCATTG